TTCAAATATGACTTCTGGCATTTCAGCAGACTGGAGCCATAAACAGCTTCCTGCATAGTTTGAGTCCTGAACAGAGAGGATGATCGTTATAATAATGAATGACACGTTCAGTTCAAACAGATTGAGACCAGATTTATTTCTGCAGCAATGATGACGGCCATAAGGATCGTTGACTAATCCATCCCATGTTAAGATGCATTGGTAGCTGCTATGAGGTTTGATGCATTAGATCAGGGGTTCCCAAACTTTTCAGCCCCTGACCCCCAAAAATAAGGTGCTAGAGACTGGGGACCCAGTCTGTCCATGGAGGTGGTTAAAACATTTACCGTTGTGCACGATCCAAACACTGGAATAAGAACGACACAAAAGAACAGCCTGAACACTGTAATATTACTTTCATGATGGTAGCAGAATTAATCTCTTGAACTTTTTTTTTAATGTTTTGACAATAATGGGTCAAATATTACATTTTTAGTGATTTTTAATTTTGATGTGTTTGGAAGAATTCTCATGACCCCCTTCTCAGTGTCTTGCGACCCCCCAGTGGGTCCCGACCCCAACTTTGGGAACCACTGCATTAGATAATAGCTTGCTGAACACAATGCTCACATTGAAGTGTTTTTGTATATTTAAGGTTCTTCCAGAGAACAGACCCTTGAGTTAAATAAATATTAACTTTTCCCTTTCCGATAAAAAAAAAAAAGCGTGACATTTGTAAATTGTTCTTTTTGCTGCTCAGTTTCAAACCTCCGGCCGGAGTCACGGCATGGGTTCAAGTCTCATTCCTTTGGGATGAAATCTCGGCTCTAATAAGGCATGAGAGGAAAATGTTAGGCAGTGCTGGAACTGGGGATGAACTGCAGGACAAAAACAGGAATATGTTTTTTAATTACATCTGATCACTTCTGGAGTTTATTTCATGACATGTGGTTTGCCGCGCACAATCATTTCTCCAACACATGACTCAGATCTTTGATTAAAAAAAAAAAAAGACAACTTCACGATGACTCATTCTTCTCTCTTTATGGTTGTCTGATCATGTTGACATGTGGCAGCCTGAAGTGTAAACATACACAAATACAGCAACACAACGTTTGAGTATAATCAGTATTCACTTCATAGATACTGTGCAGAAACTGTAGACAACACCATGTGCTCATTGGAGCCTGCCGCTGCACACTTACCAACATTAGCCTTTAGCACACTGGGATGATTTCTCTTCGTGTCTACTTTTAATTTGATTTTGAATGCGTTTGTTTTTCTGAATGCAATGTCCTCACATTGTGCAATCCATTAATTAGTCTGGACTTTATTAGAAGAGTCTGGGTTGAGAAGGTCAAAGCTAAAACTAAACTAAACACTAAAGTGACGACAGACTAGTCATCATCCGTTCTGCTTTTCTTCTTCTTTTTCTTCTTCTTTCCCGACTCCTCCGCTACATCTCCGTACAAAGTGTCTATCGGTTCACTCTTCACTGCTTCCAGCTTCACCGTCACACTGGGCTCCACGCCCTCCTCCACTTCCTCTCGCTCCCTGTCCTTCTTCTTCTTCTTCTTCTTCCTTTTCTCACCCACCACTTCACCGTCCTCCACAGGGACATCCATCATCACCTCAGTTTCCGCCATCGGCTCCTCCTTCACCTTTAAGTACTCCTCTACCCGCTCTGTCTTTATTCCCTTTTCTGTCTTATCTTTCTTCTTCTTCTTCTTCTTCCTCCTCCCTTCATCCTCGCCATGTTCTTCGCGCCATGTTTCCTCTGTCAGCCGTTTGACCACTAAAGGGCGGAGAGTTGTGGACGAGGGCCCGAAGGCCGCTCCGTCCGCCTCGCTCTCTGCCACGCAGGTTAGCGTGGGGGTCTTGCTGCCGAAGGGGTGGAACCTCTGTTTGAGCCCGGGCGGGATGGAGGGTGCAGGAGTGGCGGGGATGACCTGAGGGGACTGGTTTGCGCTGCTGTCTCCGTAGCTCTCACACACATTCATCAGGCCGGAGAAGGCGGGGCCAAAAACGACACTGTCCGACGCCTGCTTGTCGCCGGTGAGCAGGCAGAGCTCGGAGGCTCCGTGTGACGACGACAGGACGCTGTAGATCTGCTGGCTGCTCCCAGTCTGAGCTCCACCTGCAGGTACAGGAACCTTCAGGGTCTGGAGACCTGAGAGCGGCACCTTGATGCCACTGAAACTGGAAGAAAAGATGAGAGACAATGTTAGGCGTCATTCCAACAAAGGATCCTGGGAATTATTTTACCTGGATTCACAAGTTTACACTAAACATTGTCCTTTTCTGAGACTGTCACTGAAAAATGAGAGCTTCCACATGAAGCTGTCAAGCTCCATCTGATGGTCTCAACAGGCTGTCAGATACTTTATGTTAAGACTGTTCAAAGTGAAACTGCATAACTGCAATAAGATAACATCACACATGTTCTCACTTACTCTTAAAAAAATGAATCATGTTACTAAAAACATTCAGAACCTTTACTCGGTTTTAGCACTGAACACCCTCTCTTTGTACAAATGTTAATAGAATAAGATAAAACTTTATTGATCCCCAGACGGGAAATTCGGCCGTTGCAGCAGCACAGACAAGAAACCTCAAAATACACATTAAACAGAATAGATAAGATAAATAAAAATAAAAACGGGGTATATACAAGTACAAAATGAATGATGAAGTTAACTATGCAGGGAGTTGAGAATTATTGTGTAATACAAATACACATTAATATGTGATTTCTTTTTGTAAGGTAATACTGCTTGAATAAGACAAACTGAGAAAGAGTCTACCAACCTTTCTGGATTAAAGTTAGCAGGAGCTTTTATGAGCCACAGCTCATTCTTGTTGTTCTTCAGACTCTCGGTGAGCATGCTGCTGCAGGGCTTATGGCAGAAAGACACAAAGTCAGCAGGACACTGGTACCTGGTCGTCCTCTTATCTGTGGATAGAAACAATAAGACTTCATCATTCATCAATTCATCACAAAGAGCATTACAAAAAGAGACCAAACACAGGAAATAAGGTCTGTGCTCACTTTTTGTAGCATAGACTTTGAGTGTCAACAAGCTTACGTTTGCAATCTGAATCACTCCATGCCGATCAGAGAAGACGATTTAATGAACTGTGAGACTTTCACATTGTCTGTCCTTTGCTTGATGTTTAAAGACACACCGCAAACACTTGCAAAAGTATGCAGAGCATTATTTTGAGTCTTAAATAGACTTGTTAAACTTACACTTTAGGACTCGTATACACAATAGAATAGAATAGAATAGAATAGAATAGAATTACTTTATTGATCCCAAACTGGGAAATTGTGGCGTTACAGCAGCAGGTTGTCCAAACACACAATATGAGCAAATTTAACACAATATAATATTAAATACAAAGTAAATAAGCACAAAACATTTCAAAACTAAGAATGTGAATATATACAACCAAGATTTAACTAAGCATTACTAGTCTTAATTAAGAAAAGATTAAATACAACATACTTTGCTGTAGATAAATGTAAATTGTAAATGGACAGTATTGACATAACGACGTGATGACTTTACAACTTTGACTTGTTTTTAAATAGTCAAACAATAAAAATACAATGCATTGTATTTCTTCTGTCCATTACATTAGCAACCAAACAACACGTAGCACTGTTCAACAAATCAGCATGATCTTACCTTGTACGTGTCGCTTCGCAGGTGACTTTGTTGCAGAAGTGTCCGCTTCATCTTCGCTTGATGAAGGTGACACGTGTCGCGGCATTTTTGATTTGAAAACAACCACAACCGTTAAAATGAAACGTTTTCTACCTCAAACACATGGCTACGGAGCACCCACATGTGTTGACACCGTTTGCACTACGACCTTTGCTTACTTCACTTCCGTGTCACTTTTCGTTTGTAGTTCCAAAATCCGGCACGGGCTGGTTAGCTTCGATTTAATCGAACCAGTTCAGAAAACTCCAACTCCCACAATGCACCGCGAGAGATTACGTAACCTTCCAAGCGTCTGTCGGGGAAGCAGTTGACAACAGCCGCCAAGAGCAGGCCGAAGTGGGCAAACACAACAAATATAGGAAGAAAAGAGCGAAATTGCTGCAGAGTTTGAATTTATTTAATAAACTAAGAATGTTTAACTTTATTCTGAAGCAGTTTGAAGTCCGTTGAACCGGAAATTAGTTCGCGAAGAGAGGGCGTGCACCTGTCGAAAGATAAATAGGTTAACCCTGCTAACGTCTAGCTAGCACGTTAGCTTGTGTTTTTTTTTTTTTTTTTGCAAAACATGTCGTCCCCGTCCTCCTCCTCCAGGCGCCAGTGGTGCTACCTGTGCGACCTGCCGAAGATGCCGTGGACGGTGGTGTGGGACTTCAGCGAGGTGGTCTGCCGTGGCTGCGTGAACTACGAGGGAGCTAACCAGATCGAGTTCCTGATCGCGAGTGCCCGACAGCTGAAGCGGACACATGGGCTGCAGGATGGAAACGTCAGGTCACCTGGTCCTTCGCCGAATAAACACGGCACATCTGGCAGAGGGGAAGCAGCGGCGGCAGCAGCAGCAGCAGCGGACGGAGGGAGGCCACACTCGGAGCGTTTCGAAAGGGGGGTGAGAGGAGAAAGCACCGGGTCGGCTATACGTGTGCCCCCCAACGGGCTGCACCGTGACGGACAGCCGCCTCCTGAAGTGAACCGCCAGAGTCCCAGCGGCAGCAGGAGACCCATGCTGGGCGCTGCCATCCCTCCCAGTTTAGTGACTCAAACCATCGCAGGGATCCCCCACGGTCTTCTCACAGGCATGCCTGCGGGTCTGACCGCCCGGACAGCCCCCATGAGTAACCCTATGATCTTTCCTGCCCCTGTGCTGGCCGAGATGAGTCGTAGACAGCTGGGCATAGGGATGGGGATAGCCCCCTTTATCACGCCAGAGCTGGAGCGAGAGCTCAGTTCGTCCCAGAACCAGCCCAAGATAATGTCACAAGTCCACACTGCTGTGGCAGGAAGCAGCAGCAGCAGCAGCAGCAACAGCAAGAGTTCAGGTCTGCCTTCTTCTTCGTCCTCGTCCATGGCTGGAGGTGTAAGCCAGACCAGCCCAAAGCCTGCCTCATCTCCAGCCAGGCAACCCCGCCCCCTCACAGCGAGGTCTGGAGGGGAGCCCCTAGGATCAAGCTCCTCTGCAGAGGCAGCGACCACTGCTGCAGCATTACCCCACAGTGGGGCCTCTGAACTGGGGTCTGCATCAGCCAACAATACCCATTCGACCGGAAACACTCTTTCCTGCACCTTGTGTCACGAGAGGCTGGAGGACACACACTTTGTTCAGTGTCCATCAGTGCCAGGACACAGGTTTGTGTTTATTCTATATTTGATTTGGTTTTTTTTAAAGATTATTTTTGGGGCTTTTTTTTGCCTTTAATGGAGAGATAGGACAGTGGATAGATTCTGAAATCAGAGAGAGAGAGAGAGAGAGAGGGGAATGACATGCAGGAAAGGAGCCACAGGCTGGATTCGAACCCGGGCTGCCCGCTTGGAAGACTATAGCCTCCATACATGGGGCGCGTGCACTAACCACTGCGCCACTGGTGCCCCTATTTGATTTTTGGAATGGAATAACGCAGCCTGGAACAAATTGTGGTTTAGGTCGAAAGGTCTTCTAGCACTTTATTGTAAGACCGTCAAAAATGCAAAGATGTTGATGATGTTTAATAAATAAAAAGGTATTAGGGCTTTGAGTTTAAAAGAGTCGCTAATTAAAGGAAGCCTTTTCATCTCTGGACATAAATAATAGCTTATAATAGATGCATCTAACTAATAGTTGTAGTAAGCTTTTCTCTCTTACTTTCCCATGTTTAGGTTCTGTTTCCCCTGCACCCGAGTGTACATCCAGAGCCGGCGGGGTGACGGTGAGGTGTACTGCCCCAGCGGAGAGCGCTGTCCGTTGGATAACTCCCCCAACAGTCCTCCTTGGGCCTTCATGCAGGGCGAGGTCTCCACCATACTGGGCACAGGCGGGGCAGGAGCGGCACCGGCTGCTGCCTCTGGAGCCGGGAACGCGCCGGGACCTGGTCCTGGAGCTGCAGGAGCGTCTTCATCCGGGGCTGGGAATGGATCTGCTGGCGGAGGTGGAAGTGGAGATGTCACTGTCAAGAAAGAGAGAGAGACGTGATGATGATCGTCATGGCAACCAGAACCCAACACAGCAACAGGCAGGTCGACATTATGAAGTTCTGGCTTTTAGATAAATCTGTTTTTACCTCCATCATTACGTAATGAATCAACCTTTGTTCATTTCAATAGAGTAGGCATTTCTATTCTTCAAGATCAGCAGAGCAAATGTGAAGAAACAGAAAGTTAAGTACAAGGTCAATGGATTAATTTAGAGAGGGATGGGAGGGGAGACGAGGAGATAGCTTTAAAATGAATGAAACTATTCACTAATATGACTGAGGATAGTACAACAGTTGTAACTGTAAATCTTCTGCTCTGTTTTCTAGATCTATGTGACATAGATTTGATGTTTTATGTAGCGTTTGTTTTCTCCGATGCAGAGTCGTGTCACACATCAGGAGGAGGAGACCTCTGCACCCGGCTGCTGAGAGATCCAGAAGAGAAGCTACAACGTGCTGCACAGCTCAGAAAAAGCTCCATCACACAGGTCTTTATACTCACACCGCCAGATTTTTAATCACATAGTCCGACCTCACCACATACCAGACTGATGGTCTATTGGTTTCATGACTCTGCAAAACTTTTTTTTTTATTTGTAATGAGAATGTGACGACTATATTCAGTAATCAAAATACATTTCCTCTTGTGCTGCTGCAGCAACGAGCAGCAATCTATCAAATATTAACCACAAATTAACGGCTGAACTGTGACTACTTTCCTTTGTAGAGTTAACCCTCGCTTCACGAGTTTAACGTCTGATCAGAGCCAAAAATATTTTTTTAAACTTGGCAGCTGGAGATCAAAGAGTTTCACACATTTACATGACTACTCCCCCTATCAGAACTATTTAAAAGATGCTGTACTTACACTAATCAATATTCACACAGCAACTTGAATATGCACCTTAAGAAACCACTAGTGCCACTCAAATCTCTCCATGTGGCTACCAGTGTGTTCACATGTAATAGACTTTGTTTTCTAAGGAAAGCTAGCATAGCTGCTAACGGTAGCTCATTAGCAGACCTGACTCTTCTAAACAGTCAGAGAGTAGCCACAGTCCAGTGTTGATTGTCAATATGGTGTTCGCGTAAGAAAGCACAATAAAAACAGTAGCCACGGTTGTTTTGTATCTTTTCCCTGTTGATGAGTGAAACGCTGGCTGGCAGCACATCACACGAGGTCAGACATCAGACTGTTCAACATTCAATCCAGGCGGCTCCAAGGAGGAACAAGTTGGTACTTAACCATCGGACTGAATCTCATTTCCCCCTTCCTGTGCTCGGTCTAAATTAAGTCTCTGTGCTTCTACAAATCCAGTTTATATTTACAACTGACATGGAAGTGAAAGTTCTGATGAAAGAGTGTACCTTTAACGTCATGATCTCTGCTTTGTTCCTGACTGAAATCTGTGTCCGAGATTTAACTCTGTGACGGATCGTTCAAACTTGACATGAACAGAAAAACCAACAAGAGATGTTGACAGAATGCCAGGAGAGACTTTTCTCTGTACGTCCGTGTATTTGTTTTTTTTGGTGGTCAACTTCAGATAAAGCCGGCTTTGACTCAGAGAAGAGAAAACAAACATCCAGTGAATCTGTGGACAAGCCGTGGACACGCTCTGTGTTTAAACGTTGCTTTCATACAAGATCCAGCCCAGCCTCCGCTTTACCATGAATGTATATGAAAAGATATCTGATAGGCCTAGGACGATATTTTATACTAGAATGTTCAATGTTATATACTCTATAGATCTATTATAGTATGTATGTGCAATCCTTGGTCATAGTATATATGCAACTATTTGGAATAAGTCATTCAAAGCGTGTGTGTATCATTTCTTTAACCCTTTGTTTTCCAAAGGGAGAATCCACCTTCAGGCAGTAAATGTTCCTCTTTCACCCTGAAAGGTTTGTTGATTCGGTTTCCCCAAACACGAGACACTTTAATGAAGCCTTATCGAGTGGAGCACGTTCATGTTCTGAAATCTTATGTGTAGCAGTAAAAATCAACAAACGCTGTCACAGTCTGAAGGTTACTCTCCATGTTCTATCACCTTTAGTGGATTTAACCTGCAGAGAGGCTCGGACATTTAACAAGTGCATGAAGAATGAACGGCAGAAAAGGAGACTATGAACATGTTAGAGTATGCTCGCTCTCTTTACACACATGTAACGGTTATAAAGATGAGGTCATCATTTTAAAAACATAAAACTGTGAAGTTAGGAGACGTCCCTGTGGAGGACTCATCCATATTTTACAGACTGGATTTAAAACAGTGTTGGACAAAGAGTCCAACACTTTGATCAATGCATTCAGGAATACGTCTTGAGGTGGATTCTCCCTTTACGTACTTTGTACTCATCAGTACAGACGCACACACAAACCAAAGGTAACTTAATGCCCAACTGATGTTTGTGGATGTTGATGTTTTATTAAAAAAAAAATATAAAGCTATATTTCTTGGCCAGTGGAAACTGGTTTTCTTCATCAAACAGTTCCAGGTAACAGGACCATGTGGTCTACTGTACTTCTGGGATCATCCCACAGATCAGGTCTGTTCTAAACGTGGAATTTGAGTTGACTATATGCACTGATACATCATGCAATCCCTTGCTAAAGTGCCTTTTTCAAATGTTTACCGCCTGCTTGTGTGTCTGGGAACCTCAGGGGAAGTCGGAGTGCAATGACTTTTTTTTTTTATTGTTGAGTCAATGATTAACCTGTTTCCCTTCAGTCGCCATCAGACGGCTTGGCTTTATTCTGAAGCTTTTTGTAAAGTCCACTCATTGTTTGATACGCTCTCTCCCTGCATCCCAGCGCTCTCTCTCTCTTCTTTCATTCATGTGTCCAGTTTTTAGATTTGTCAGTTTTATTGCAGCTTCGTGTACAAAAATAGAAAGCAGGAATAAAAGGGGATGGAAACGTGTCATTGGTTGTCTCCTTCTTGACTTTACCCACAGAGATTCAAACATGTGAAATATCTTCTTTTATGCTCCTCTGGATGAAAACAATGAAGATCCATGAATGCCACAGCTCTCTGAGTTGAGGTGCTAAGTGGAGGATTTCACTATCTTCACTAGGATCTGTAATCGAGCTAACGTAATGGACAACAGGTTGATGAGCTCTCATCCTGCTGAGTCCAACATCTACGCCGGATCGATCTGTTTTATTTCATTTTTTAAAAGGTAACGCAAAATCGTACAATAGATGGATATTTACAGAACTAATTGAGACATTTGATTCAGTTTATTTGAAATGTAAATTTAAAGGATGTGTGTTAAAAGGCCAAGAGTTGAATGTGTTTTTTTTTCTTTCTACCAATATGATTTCCCTGGAGATATAAAGAGGACATTTGAACATTTACACATCAAGTGTGAAGCTATGAGGAGATTATTATGTTAGAATAGAATTACTTTATTGATCCCAAACTGGGAAATTGTGGTGTTACAGCAGTAGGTTGTCCAAACACACTATTAAAAAAAAACACAATATTAGCAAATTTAAACACAATATGATATTAAACACAAAGTAAATAAGCACTAAAAATATCAAAACTAAGAATGTGAATATAAACAACCAGGATTTAACTAAGCATTACTAGTCTTAAATATGAAAGATTAAACGTAATTAGACAAATGAAGTGAACTTGAGTGCAGGGATAATTTGTAAATTTGTAAATTTAACATGTTACTTTATTAATGTGTTAATAAAGTGATTTAATAAAAAAAATAAAGAATCAAATAACTAAGTAGATGCTGGATCCAGAAACTAAAAGTTGTAGAGAGGCACAGAAAAAGATGTGCACAGGGTTTATTAACGAGAGTCTTTGGAGCCAATATATGTATATATAATAAATATAATAAACAGAGTAAGGTCTCCTTCTAGACCCATGAGTGCTCAAACAGATTATTAAACCTTTAATTTAGGACAGATAGTGATGGATCAATAAAACTGTAAAGTGTGATTGTCCTTTTGAAAACACTGAATGGTGAAAGGCATCACACACATTAATGTGTTCATGTTCACCAGTAAATGGATCAATAAAGTTCTCTTAAAGCAGACCAGTTTTCCTTCACATCTGTAAATGATCTTAATGATCCTGCAGTTTAAAAGTGTTCAGAAATCTCTTGTGTCAATAAACATTTCAAAAGAAGTGAAACTCGATCCAGGAACGTGTTCTGAAAGAGTTGGATTTGAACTCTACTTCTGTTACAGTCCGCGTCCAGGTTTACCTGGAAAAGCTGCCCCCCTCTGCAGGAGCTATTTTAGTTACTATTTAGTTTCCTTTAGTGGCCGCAGGGTGGCGCTCTCACTCTGCTGACCTCAATATGAGAGACTATATCGCTGCTGAGAAAAGAGGACGTGTGTGTTCTCTTTGATCAGATTCAGGTTAACATCACGGCCTCTGAAGTTCTCATGAACACACTCAGAGGTCACTGGGTGTCAGTCACGTTTTTACATGACGTATTGAATGAGTTCCTCTGAAATGAAAAGCGCGTGAACCTCACACGAGCCCGGCTTAAAGAAGGTGAATGCACCTCGGATCAAGAGCCAGGTAAAGTGATGAAATGTTAATATCACGAAGAAGAAGAATTGTGAGAAAGGGGGTTAAGGGGGTACAGTTAGATTCCCCCCTCCTCCCCTCCCCCCCCCCCCCCCCTCCGGGCTGCTGGCAGGCCGATGTGTCGTTTCCTCCATTAGTGTCAGCTCATTACAGCTATTGTTAAAGCAATTATAGAGGTGTTAATGGACGATGGAGGCCCATTGGCATGAGAAACGGCCTGCAGAGAGAGGATGTGGCTAAATGTGAGTTGGGGAAGAAATGGGACGTCAGAGGACAATTACATGTTTCAGGATGAGTATTATGAAGCCTGAGACTGACAGTGAAGAGTTCATCCCTCACCAAGTGAACCCAACAAACCTACAATTCACTTAGCAGACCTCCATCCAAACAAAGCCTCCATCTGTGTAGAATTCTAAAAAAAATAACAGGCAATCAAACTTCAACAAAAAACATTAATTTACTGCGTTTATTCTGTAGAAACTTCAAAATTAGAGAATGATGAGAACAACTATTATCCATCATTCACAGTTTCTCGATTTAGCAGAGCTTCTACTGTTTCCAGAGGAGAAAGGTTAAACTGTGCTTTACTGACAGAAAGTCAGGTTTCCCATGGCACTTGAATGCAGCAAAATTACAACTATATATAAAATAAACGAAAACTATCCCACATGAATCCAAACCCCGAATCAGTAACTGATTTTCCATTTTCCATTCCATTTCTAGGTGTGACACTTTCTTCTTGGTTCTTGTCAATTCTCTAATGAAGGGTTACGGTTAGGGTTAGTTAAGTTGGAGGTTAGTTAAACTGTATTGGACGAGATGCAGTCCTGCGTATCCTCATGCTTACTTGGATAAACATAGCGCCGTTTCATCTTTCTCCACAGGTTTCAAAATCATCCACACACCCACAAAAACTCGCTCCTGTGAAAACTGACAAGAGTCTGAGCACACTTCATATTTGGTGGATTTGTTCTTTTGATCAAAAGTTCGAGGTTGGAGTTTTGCATCCTTTCTGATCTCACACTGTATGAGCAGCATGCAGATAAAAGAAGCTCATCTCTTTCAGGCTTAATTACATCATTACACACACTGAGGTGTGAGATCATCCCGCGTGCTAATCGACCTGACAGCTTTTTTTTCCAAACAGCCCATCATGTCTTCACAGGGGAGACAGTCTGCGGAGAGCAAGGCTGCCTATGAACTGTAGCTTCAATATGTGGACAGGAAATAAGTTATTAAAGATCATTTGGTGCTAAATGTTCATAACCCGACCAGCAGCTGATCATTAAAGGACATTAATCACTGATATAAAGAAGATGAAGTCGTTTCAATCAAGGTAACTTAGAGGTCAGACATCTGTCCAGCATGTCATTATTTTCAGAATCTGTCATGTTTCCTTTAAAAAAAAAAAACACACATTCTGGAGGTTTTCAAGATGACCCGGATCTGTCTGACATCACATGTCTGTTGTGTCTGCGCGCTCATCTTCTTCCTGTTATTTCTGATTCCTGGGATCTTTTCTCACAGTCTAATCCCGTCGACCTCCCGCCTGCGCATCAATTACATGTCCATTGAGAGGCCATTAGCAGAGGCATTGACATTCACAGGCCTCCGTCTGCACCCATGGGCAGATGTGTATTCCTCAACACAGCAGTCCGGCCCCTATGCATTACACCAGGCTTACATTATTTATTGTATTACGGTGTGGCGGTGGGCCACGAAGGCCTCTAGGAGAAGAGAGAAAAAAACCTCCAATAGTTCATCGAGAAGGCCTCTCAAATCCAACCGAGACAAAGTTACGCACAGATACTCACACGAGAATCAAGAAGACCTAAAAGTAAACGAAATGAAACAGAACAAAAGTCAGAGTTATAATGCATCACAACGAACAATTTACGCACAATTTACGCACGAACAAACGCTAAGCTACGTTTAAGCTTCCTTTACGTTTTCGTTTATTTTTTTGAATGCAAATGTGATGTTTTGGTTACGCCAAAAAAAAAAGTCAATATATTGAAAAAAAAAAAACAACTCATATTTTATTGATCTGAGAACTTCTTCTGTGGGCGTGGGAACTTTTATCTCTCCTGGGTAGTTCTGCTTTTCTGACCTGATTAAGATTTTGAATCTTTTGACAGTCAAATATTCCACGAAAAGTGTTTTTATAATCAAGAAGATATTTGACTATCAGACACAAAATCTGAAATAAGTGTGGTGGTTACAAACCCGAAGAGAAGTGTTAAAGTGGTTACGACCCAAGAGAAGAAGTGATAGCCGAGGGAATTAACGACTTTGACACCCCTCACCACACACACACACACACACACACACACACACACACACACACACACTCTAAAGATAGGAGTAGGACGTTTCTAATTTTTGTGAAACAAAATGACATTTTATTTGAGCTATTTATTAAATATTCAAACTTCTACATAACTTTATCGAATATTAACTTTGATCATATTGCCACTTTGATAAAGGTTAGTTACTTGTGTTAAAAAAAAAAAAATCCAATCAGCTCTGTTCCTGAAGGATTATGGGACAGTGACTTGTCCGGGTGGCCTGTTGCAGCCGCCGGGCCAATATACAGCACGCCAGGGGGCCACATCGGCCTTTTTGCGGGGCCCTTCCTGGATCCCAACACGGCATTCAAATGTCAGGATCGGGGCGGGACCCGGCGGCACCTTATAAGAGAAGGACGTCCAGGTTCCTCTGCTGGATTTGCGCGCTTCACCTCCGCCTGCTGCAGCGGAAAAAAAAAACGGGCCACAAGAAGAAGAATAAGTGTCCATCTGCTGAGCCGTGACAAGATTAAAGTTATAAAACAATGGATGACTGACAAACAGCCTGAGAAGTTTTGACTTTATTTTTGTTAGTCCGGGAGAACAGCGTCCACTTTCTCTAAAACTTTTTTTTTACAGCAAACATTTTCTTCTTCTTTCGTGACAAAAGGAGACAGCGGTGTATTTGGATCTTTTCTCCTGACATCTTCAATCTTTGCGAAGGATTTTAAACTTATTTTTTTGTTATAGATTTTTTTTTTAACCCCTCGGTGATAGAAAAGAGTTTCTCCTTCATAGACTTGTGTTGGGGATGTTGAGCTCTGTGAAGATGGAAGCCCATGATCTACCAGAGTGGAATACTTTCTACAGCGAGGCAAGCGAGGTAAACACAAGTTCCACACATCAAAATGACACAAATAGACTTCAGATTTATCTAAATGTTTTATTTCCTCTACTTTCAACAACTTCTGGATTTTTTTTTTTTCTCGAAGGACAAAAGTTTGGTGATAATTGTATTTGCGCACGGATTCACCAGGATCCCGAGGAGAGAACCAGCTGTGTACTTTAAATATAAAAGAAGATTAGAGAGAACATTTTGAAGATTTTTTATTTACTCTTAAAGCTCACATAGAAATATTGCTAAAATAAAAAAATAAAAAAAAAGGTTCAAACGAAATGTACGCAGAACAGGGCGACAAAGAGGATCGATGCGCACTTCACATTTTCTCAGGAAAATAAGAAATAAAGTCAAGAAAAAAAAGCGAAATATAACCAATAACAATTAGTAAATCCTCTTCAGTAATAATCCGACATGAACATTTAAAAATTAAACGAATATTTAAAAAACACAACTGAAAAAAGTTATATATGAAGGCCAATTACTGACAGTTACTAACTTATTGTTCAGATTTGAACGGTTCTGGAGCCTGATATTATTTTAATTGCTTTATAAATATTTAGGTTGATTCAGTTAGATATTTAGAGGTGAGGTTTTGAGCTTATCTACAGACTGTTCTCCTTTGTTTCCTCGCAGCTGCTGAAGCGTCGCGACATTTCAGGTGTAAATGTAACACGACTTATTCCCAGTAATTCAATTAAAGGCTTAATTCAATCAGCAGCTTCAGATCTCACCTCAGCTCGGCCTGATGAAATTAACGAAGAAGAAAGAGATAATACTTAACAGCGGCCAGGTCAGCGGGGCCGAGATACCTGTTCCTGATTCCTCTTTTAAAGACGTCAAAGAGTTTTTCATAACTCAAACTAATCATCTGTAAGAATTTAAAAAGTGTTTGTGCATGTTTGACGAACATTAAGAAGATATGAGGACAAATCAGATTCCTTCCTAAGAAGTGAACGTTTGGTTTACTTGTTTTTTCCACACAGCAGCGGAGGAGGCTGTCTGAACCGAGAGGCACCATGACGCGTTTTTTACGCATTCTCAGGTTAACATCGCTGTGTGAAATCCATGTCCTCTCCCCGCGCGCACTGAGAGCTTCATTGTGCATTGATAAGGAAGGAGTCCCGTTTTCAATGGACACCCAAACGGCCTCACTTTCACGTTGAAAACGTTTTTTTGAGTCGCAGTATATGAAGTTAAAAAAAAGGACCACACTGAAATAGTTGTTCCCTAAATGTTGAAAAGTTAAAGGTGAAGATGAGTTTAATATATTTCTTTATTTATATTAACTGTGACTGTATCAGCTCATGTGTTCCTCTGCAGTGTTTTAAATAACCTGGTGTTGTTGTTCTCTGTCTGCAGATGTATTCCTCTCCCAACGCCATGAACTCTGGTCTCGGCTCGATGGGCTCCATGGGAACCATCAACAGCTACATCAACTTGAACCCGCCCATCGCCTCCCCTGCCGGCATGAACATGGGGTACCCGAGCTCAACGCTCAGCAACTCCCCGCTGGCCTCGATGGGCTCAGGGCCCGGTCACATGTCCCTCTCCCCAGGGGCCTCGTCCCTCAGCTCAGGCGCTCTGACCCAGCTGGGCCCTTCGGCTCCGGGCTCCCTGAGCTCCCTGTCCCACTACCAGAACATGGGTCAGTCCATGAGCCAGCTGGGGTACCCCTCCACAACCAGCCTGAGCCGCGCCGGGCCAAAGGAGATCCCCCCGAAGCCGTACCGCCGCTCCCTGACCCACGCCAAGCCGCCCTACTCCTACATCTCCCTCATCACCATGGCGATCCAGCAGAGCGGCAGCAAGATGCTGACCCTCAACGAGATCTACCAGTGGATCATGGACCTGTTCCCCTACTACCGCGAGAACCAGCAGCGCTGGCAGAACTCCATCCGCCACTCTCTGTCCTTCAACGACTGCTTCGTGAAAGTCGCTCGCTCGCCCGACAAGCCGGGCAAAGGCTCGTACTGGACCCTGCACCCGCAGTCGGGGAACATGTTCGAGAACGGCTGCTACCTGCGGCGCCAGAAACGCTTCAAGATCGAGGAAAAGCTGGCCAAGAAGGCGGGGAAGAACCAGGAGGGGGGAAAAGGAGGTCACGGTGGGGATCACCTGGGGGAGGACCACAGCCCCACAGGAGGATCAGAGGGAGCTGACTCCGCCCACTCAGACAACTCCCACCCCGGCTCCTCGGACGACCAGCCGCACCAGCGGAACTCCCTGGTTCCTCTGGACTGCCCCGCGCTGTCCTCCTCACACCTCCACAGCCCGCCCATTTCCCTGCCTCCCCCTTCCTCCTCCTCTTCCTCCATGCCTCCTTCTGGCCTCTCCCTGTCAGCCTCCTCCTCCTCCATCCTTCATCCACAGTCTTTAGTGGGGGGTCCCCACCTGCTGCCCAGCGCCATGCAGCAACACATTGACCTGCAGAGCGACGCCCTCAAGTCCCTGGACCCCCACTACAACTTCAACCACCCGTTCTCCATCACCAACCTCATGTCCAACGAGCAGAAGATGGACCTCAAGTCCTACCAGGACCAGGTGATGGCCTACAACAGCTACACCGGGGGCTCTCCTGTGGGGGCCAAGCAGATCTATGACAGCCAGGGGCCCACCTCCATGGACTCAGGCGCTTACTACCAAACTCTGTACAGCCGCTCGGTGCTCAACGCCTCCTAATGTGGACCCACACACACATCTGTCTGTGGAGCCAAGATGGAGACTTCTCTTCTCCTCTAAAATGGACACCAGAGCTCTCTCTCTCTCTGTCTTCCTCTTTCTCTCTCTTTTTCTCTCTCTCTCTCTCGCTCTCTGGCTCTCGTCCAGCGGCCTCTGAAGAGACTCACATCTAAAATGGCCGTCGTGTTTGAGAGGCAAGAGAACAGTTTGTTTTTTCTACTTCACGGCCTCTGACAAACGTGGAAGGAAGCTGGTTGGTTACACGGAGGACAGAAAAGAGAAGCTGGATGATGAAGATGTCGCTGGAGCTCCGCACGTGCTGAAGTGTCAGCTTTTGTACAAAATGTAAATAGAGGTAATGTAGGGGGGGGGAAAGGATATTTGCATTTATTTATGAAGGGAATAAATCTTAATATATCTTGTATAGCTCTGTTGACCAGTTACAACCCCGATGTGAGTTTTATTTTTTAGAATGAGATAAGTTTCAGGTTACTGCTTCAGGCAGGTGTTACTGTTCGTGTGTTACAGCATTTCACACCATTTCCGTCAATCAGGAGTCCGTCAGTGTATATATAGCTCATGGAGTCTACTTTTTAAAAATAAGTTTTTATTTTTATTTTGGTTGATATGAAGAAAAAAAGAAAGCCGTTTTGTCCTTACTGGAGCTCAGATAAAATAGAAGTTTTGCAGCCAGAAGGTAAGAGGCAAAGAAACTGTGGTAAAAAAAAAAAAGAAGATACTAACATGTCATGTTTCTGTTTTTCATTTCCCACAAACATTTTCTGTTGTTACTTTATAATCCAGAGGCATGAAGTGCTCCTGTCAGACTGTAACATGATGTAAAGCAGAGCGGGGGAGTTCAGTCAGTTACTAAAAACAGTGGAGGGGAGGAGAGATGCACTATGGGAGATTTACATACAGTACTTTGCACTATGGAGCTCCCACTGGCCAGGTGGGCTGATAGTGTGTGTGTTACAACAATACTTAGGACCCCCCCCCCCCGCCCACACTGTCAATGCATCAGCTCAATGGGATCAGTGGAACGATGTCAGAGGGTTAACTATCCACCCGTCGTCCCAAAAAAAAAAAAAAAGTGCCTTTTCTTCAAAGACTGCTGATCTGACAAGATATCAATGTATCGACAATCTATTGAAGGATTATTCCGTCACACAGCGGAGGACGCAGAAGTTTCAGGTCACATAATGTCCTCTGTGGAGAAAGAAAGAAAAATGTCTTTTATTTAAGCTATGTTGCTTTTCAAACTTTGAAAGTGTGCTGATATAATATATTGTTGTTGTTGTTTTCGTTGGTTTTAAATGTGATTCAAATGATCCATGTTTCATTTTTTCTTATTAAAAAGGCAAAAAATGTGGGAAGAGATGGTGCATTAGTGTTTTTCTTTTTCAAAACCTCTTTTTTTGGGCGCCCCCTGTGGACAAAGCAAGTATCTCCAACGCCGTCGTTCGTTCTGTCCTGTAAAGGTGGCCGTTCTCTGACGAAAAAAAACTCACCGTGTTTTTTTTTAACAGTCAAACATTTGAGACTCAATCATCTTTGACAAACATCAAAAGGCTGTTTTTTTTAATGCGCCATGCTGCAGGCATTAAGAATGATAATATATAGACGTAGTTCATCTGGTCAGGGATGGTCTCGTTTTTGTTTGGAGCTCATTAAGAGTTATCTCTGTTCATTTTTAGTCTGTGTTCACACCCTCTTAAAAACTTCTCACAGTAGCTTTAAACGATGTCGAAGTAGGACGTTTCCGTTTTCAGAGCAGGAACAAAAAGAATCAAACAGTGTGGAGATGTTTCACTGGCTCAGCAAATTCCCTGAATATTGATTCAATCACAAATCAAAGAGGGGACACTTTTAGGTCTTGAAAAAAGTCATCCTTAAGAATATCTCATAAACGTCTTCTAAATGACTTTATATTCAAAAATACTTCCCACTGACAGTTTTCTTGACATTCTTCACAAAAATGAATCAGAGATGATGAATAAGAAAATGGTGCAACAGCTAATCTATGTCAGGCAGCTGAATGTGAGTCTCTGGATCACACAGCATGACTCGTCAATCAATCACAAGCCTCCTTTTCCCCTCTGCGCTGGTGGAGTCTGCAGGAATAGCAGCGTCTTGTTGAAACAGCTCCTGACCAAATGACCGTGGTGTGTGACATGTCAGACTGTCAGACTAAACACGGCCCAGGATCACACTGAGAGCCTCCAAAACGAGACACGCATTAAGACCCCGCACCTCTCCAAAAACTACTGCCCCTGCCTCTGACCCGGCACCAGAAAAACTATCAGCAGGCCAACAAAACAATTATTACTCTTAAAGCTCGTCTGCTCGGCCTTTAGAGGTAGTCAGACTGTTCTCTCCTTATCCTCATGGAAACTGTCAATGCAGCTCAAAGGAGGGGTTTCTGGGGAAGAGTGATTAAAGAGCAGCCTAAGAATGGAAATCTGCTGAATCACTTTTTTATTGAAGATGATAAAAAAGGCTTTTCTGTTTCAGTTAAAACAAACATGGGGATGATATCTCCCCTTTACATCTGCAGGAGAAATAAAAAAGTTGATTTATTGATCTTGGATCCTGCAGCTGCCCTTCCCTGTCGCCGGGCATCCTGTATAACTGTCTACCTCTCTGTCTGTCTGTCTCTCAGTCTGTCTGTCTGTCGGCATGTCTGTCCTCTTTCAGTGGCTCAGTCCTGTTCTGTCAGTCACATATGAGTCGCTGCCTTTTCTTATCTGTCACTTCAGGATCGAGGCCTCAGACATACAGACTGCAAGGACACACACATACAGTATGCATGCACACACACACAGACCGAAACCACCCTCCATAACACACACAGTATGCATGTACACACACACACATGGCTGTTCCAGGTATGACTAACCTGGCCAACACTGAAATGTCACTCTGATACGTCCCCACCACGCACACACACAATTGAGTCATATTGCAAAAACACTCAAATTAGTGCCTGTTGCTGCAGAAAATTCAGCTTTTTTCTGATAATTTCATATTATATCAATTAATGTGCCTGTTAATTAACACAACCTGCACACACACACATACACACACACACACATCCATGGAGACAACCACACACTCCTGCCGACACACACACCCTAAAGAAATGGTCTGAGTGGGAATGTAAGGCAGTCTGTCACCTTGCATACACAATAGTCTCTTCAGAGCAGTTCCTTGATAAGATAGGAGAAGTCCCGCCTGATACAGTCCCCACTGCTACACACACACACACACACACACACACACACACACACACACACACACACACACACACACACACACATGGCTGTTCCAGGTATGACTAACCTGGCCGACACTGAAATGTCACTCTGATACGTCCCCTCACAGTAATCAGGTGACCACACTGATAGAGTCACATTCAGTCCAGCTTCATGTGAAACAGATAAAATACTGCGGCTTTGAGGTTTAGAAGAAGAAACAATACCGAAGGTGGAGTGAAACAATTCCAGGTACAAAGGGGGGGAAATACTATACGACCGTTATATTTGTAACCTCTCTCAGTCGTATCTGTGACCCTCTGCTGACCCACTTTTCTGAAGTGAGGCTCTTAGAAAAAAAACGATAGCGCTGCTGATAAGAGCCTGAATGTCACAATAAATAAATCCGCTCTCTGAAACGACCATAATAACCTCGGATAGGATTTGTTCCCCGGGTTTCTAGGATTTGCCCTTCCCACACATTGTTGTGACTGTTTTTGTGCAGAAATGCATCAATAAAAAAACTAATGTTAGAGCAGATGAAACGTGTTCTTTGTTGATACACAGATCATAGACTTCTGTTTTAAAGTAAATATTTCCTGCAGAGATCAGGAGGGCACAAAGGGATTCTTTTCACCGTAAGGGTTGTTAGACATTCATATCATTTGGAAAAGGACATTTTAAATGTGCAAAGTAACTCCTAAAATAAATCAGTCATCAACTTTTTAACTTTATTGCTCTAAAACTTGGTCATGATACTTTAAATCAGCGGTTCCCAAAAGCGGGCCATGCGCCCCTCTGGGGGTTAAAAACAATTATTACTGTTGCATCTTAAAAAAGTGTTCAGTTGAATGTTGCAGTTCTACTCTTTATTGCTACTTTAGAATTAGCATGATATTTTTGTTTAAGTTTAATCTTCACACATTGATGCTGCCATTCTTTTTCTGTTTTGGCAAATCTCAGATAAATTCTAAAAATACAGATATTTGACTGCAAAGGATGTTATTGTCAATATTTTTTGTATACACACACACACACACACATATACATATATATACAAACAAAATGTATTTGGTAACGTGTGGGGGGGCCCAAAGCCATTTTTATGTTCAAGGGGGGAACCCGGCAAAAAAAAAAGTTTGGGAACCACTGCTTTAAATGATCAAATATATCAGAATAGTTAGATTTGGACGTCACAAGTCTTATACATCGTGCAGTATGGAAACATGAGGTATGGGCTCTGATTCTGAAACCTGTCACACAACAGTCTGGTCTGACATGCAGCTTTCACACATGCACTCATTACAGTTTTAGAAACTTTAGACGCTGATGGACACAGTCAGTTTATATCAATGCTACTTGTAGCTCGACACTTTCACAATATCAGCAAGCTGGTGGACAGAAACATCATGAAGCAGCTTCAGCACTGATCTCACTCCCGTCACACGCAGACACAGTCTATAGTCGCGCTCCAGTTGCAGAAAAAAAACCGTTATCCTCCTCCCCAGCTCACTCTCCTTTAATTTTCCTGAATGCTTCCTGCTGTGTGTATCACGACTTCACATGGAGCAAGGGAGGCTGACAGGAAATCGTCCGGGGGAAGTTAAGAGTGATAAACTTCTGCTGTTTAGTTTCACACATGCAGCTCACTCCCAACATTTCAGGATTTGAGCATTACAAGTCATCTGATTGGACGAAAGGCATCACCATTAGTGCTGATATACAGTAGAACTGCACTGACACGATTCCCAATGTGTATCAGGTGATAGACCGTTGATTTTCATCACAGCAGACGGTCTTGGTGTTGATGTGATCAAGCTGTGACCTCTTCTTTCACCGGATGGAAACAAACGTAACCACAAAGCAGCAGTAAGAGTGCAGGGAAATGTTGTGTGCTGCTTTCTTGGCAAACATCCAGTTTCAGTCGACTTCCGGATCTACTCGTGTGGGTGAAGCCAAATGAGAGATTAAAGAAGCAAACAAAGAGAATCTGTTGTTCTGTAACACTGTGTCCTCCACTAAAAAGCAATAAAACACAGGAGGTGGTGATGTTTACTTCATATCAGCACGTTCTGATCATCTGTGAATGAACACAGCCACGCTGACCTTCAGGGTCAACACCACTCCTTCTTCAATGTGACATCATCAGCTAAACGTGTCCGGAGGCTTTAAATAACTGGTCTTAATAGAGCTCCGCAGGAATGAGTCCTAAAACCCAGGAAGTAAGTTAGCATTTGAGCGCCATGGGGTCTAACGTCTAAAAGTCAACGTGGATTTTGAATGTGTTTGTGGTTAGACGCCTGAAATAAGGTCTGTGGTTAACACAAGCTGAAGAGATGTTGGTGTTTTGTTAGAGCACATGAACTACGTTAGGTAATACTCCAACTTGTGAAGTTTGAGGTTTTTACTCGTCTTTAAAAAGGCGGTTGCTAACAAGCGGCTAAATGTGACTACAGTGGTTGTCGGGGACATTAAAGGTCATCACGCCGGACACAGAGGGCGGGAACTCTCTCAGTAGTCGGAGATGTCTCCTGTAGGTTTAATCTTTAGGTTAAGGTGAATATTATGTTAGTAAACTATTTATTAAACTACATGGATTAGTTTATCGAGATCGTCTGAAGCATAACGCTAGTGACGTCACAATCATCCCACCGTGGTGTAGTTAGCTTGTAGCATAACGTTAGCTTTTTTACTTCTGTCGGCCGCATTAACGCTTCAAACATCATAAAAATGGCGTTCATCTGTGAAGATTATCCTGCTGAACAAAACGCCTACGCTTCAGAAACATGCGTTTGACACAGAGATTATTTTCTGCGATGATCCAAAACCCGATGAAAACATCCCAGAGGAGAATTCTCGTCAGACCCCCCATGGAGATGCTACTTCCGGGTTGGCCTACAAAAATACGTCTTATGATTTGTTCTCTATAAATTTACTGAAATTATTTCCTCAATCTGAACTCCACCTCCTCATTAACATTCAAACTGTCTGATTTTGTAAAGACTTGGATCTACAGTTTCTTTTTTGTTTTTTTTAAGTGATAGTTATCTGTCAGCTCTGAAGATAACAGATGAAGGTGTGAAGAATCTTTTGTAGTGAAAAGACGACAGTTTCTCCCACAG